AGGAAGGAAGGAAGGAAGGAAGGAAGGAAGGAAGGAAGGAAGGAAGGGAGGGAGGGGAGGAAGAAGAAGAAAAGGTACTGGTGGTTGAGGAAGAGGAGGAGGAGGAGAAAAGAAGAGGAAGGAGAAGAAGAGAAGGAGGAGGTGGCTGAGGAGGAGGAGAAAAGAAGAGGAGGAGAAAAGACGAGGGAGAGGAGGAGGAAGGAGGAGGGGAAAGGAGAAGGAGGAGGGGGAAGGAAGAGAAGAAGAGGAGGAGGAGGAGAAGAGGAGGAGGAGGAGGAAGAAGGAGAAGGGGAAGGAAAAGGAGAAGGAGAAGAAGGGGGAAGGAGGAGGAGAAGAGGAGGAGGAAGAGGGAGGAGAAGCAGGAGGAGGGGGAAGGAGGACAGGAGGAGGAGGAAGAGGAAGAGAAGAAGAAGAGGAGGAGGAAAGGAGGAAGAGTGGAAGGAGAAGAGCAAAGGTCTGCAAATATAAGGAGAATGACTTTGGCAAAAGAAAGCAAAGATAGTCCCAATACACTCATTCTAGCTAATTTTCCAGCTGGAACAGAAGATAATCTAAGCCCCAAACAGCCCACAAAGACATTTACCTGTAAAAACCGGTCTTTAAATTGTAGTTGCGCAGAATCCGTTCCGTGAAGGCGCATGCCGAACCCTAATGGGTTAAAAAAAAGGGGAGGGGGGAGAAATATCAGCCCCCACTCAAGCCAGGAAGGAAGGAGCTCAGGCTGCCCATCATCTGGTCCAACCTGTTTTCTCCTGAATCAGTTGCAAACAAGAATTTTGAAAATTGGGCCAAAGGGCTTGAAAAGGCCCATGGGGGGCTGGAGGTTGCCGACCCCTTCACTTCATACCCCGGATTAATTTTAAAAATAGTTTCGTGGTCTACCCCCAACCATCTTCTCTATGGTTCTCTGCCAGATGTTGTCCCTTCCAGATATCTACGTGAACGTGCAAACTTTGGTGTCAAGGAATGGATTTGAGAATTATTCTCGATCAGTTTTGCAAATGTCTTCTAATGGTAAAAATGGGTCGCTGGAGCAGAGCAATGTTACTTCCCCACGTTCCAGATTTAATAACTGTAAGAACTGAATTTTCCTTCCTTCCCTCCCTTTCCTTTTTCCCCCTCTCCTTCCCTTCCTTCCTTGCTTCTCCCTCTTCCTTCTCCCATTCTTTCTTCCTTCCTTTCCCTTCTCCTTCCTTCCTTCCTGCAATCCTTCCTTTATTCTTTTCCTCTCCTTTCCTTCCTTTTTCTCCTTCCTTCCCCCTCTTCCTTTGCCTTCTCTTTCATCCTTCGTTCTTTTCCTCTTTCCTTCCTTTCTCTTCTCCTCCCTTCCTTTCCCTTCACTTTCCTTCCTCTCCTCCTTCCTTCTTTCTCCCTCTCCTTCTTTCCTTTCTTCTCCCTTCTTCTTCCTTCTTTTCCCTTCTCCTTCTTTCCTTTGTCCTTTTCCTCTCCTTTCCTTCCTTCTTTTCTTCTTCCTTCCTTCTCCCTTCCTTTCCCTTCACTTTCCTTCCTTGTCCCACTCCTTTCCTTCCTTTTTTCCTTCCTTTCCGTTCTTCTTTCCTTTCCTCCTTCCCTTCCTCTTCCTTCCTTCTCCCTCTCCTTCTTTCCTTTGTCCTTTTCCTCTCCTCCTTTCCTTCCTTCCTCTCCTCCTTCCTTCTTTCCCTTCTTCTCCCTTCTCCTCCCTTCCTTTCCCTTCACTTTCCTTCCTTCTCCCTCTCCTCCTTTCCTTCCTTCCTCTCCTCCTTCCTTGCTTCTCCCTCTTCCTTCTCCCTCCCCTTCTTCTTTCCCTCCCTCCCTTTTCTCCTTCCCTTGTATTGTTTATTTGAAACACAGGAATGTCCACAATCCCGTATGGGATTATCACAGATGTCATGTTTGTTGTTACTCATCGCAGATAAAAATTTTAAAAAGTCTTCAACCCCTGTAGCCCTCCCACCTTACCTTGCCCTTTGTCCCAGTGACATGAATGACGTTGAGTTGATCCAGGTCTTCAACCTGCTGGACAAAACTCTGGTCAGTTTTTGCGTTTGGCATCGTGACCCTGTCCCAGGAATCCAGGATGGGTAGACTGCACCCTGCCTCCACTCATCCGCCCCCCGCAAAAGCACAAGACCCACAAAAATGGGATTCCCAAATATTTCCCCACCCCATGAATGAAGCCCCTGCCTCAAATTCAAAAAAACAAATGATTTAAGATGTAGATAAGGACCCAAGAGAGAAATACGGGAGGCAAGTTAAAAAGAGAAGTGAAACTTCTAAGAGAACAAGTGACGATGGATAGAAAGGATTTCTTAAAAAAAAAAAAAGTTTGGCTGTACTAAGAATTAGAATAAAGAAATGTTATAAATATTTTTGCATAACACATTTAAAGTGAGCGGTACAGGTGATGACCAGATATTGAAAAAGGGTGTTATTAGGATGTACAAAATCCTGAATAATTGAAGAATGAAGGATTATGTGCTGATAACAATTATGTATATTACAATCACGTAAGTTTGATTCATGTAGTAACTTTCATTTGTACTAATATTATTTTTGTGTCACAATGAATGCTACCCAGACGCCATGCGGTCCATGTAATAATACTGATGTATATTTATTTAAAATAAAAATACTTTACGGGGAAAAAAACCTCATTTACCTTCAAGCCGGTCCGTTCCAAGAACCCAGCCATCGCTTGCAATTGCAGCTGGGGGTCTCCCCGTTCTCGCTTCACCTGTTCCAGGTAGCTGGCGTTGGTCTGCAGAGTGTTCAGAGTCCGAATCGCATCCTGGAATTGCAAGCAGGTGGATGTGAGTTTTTTGGTCCTACCTTCCACTGGAGAAATTTGGACTCAGCTAGTCCAAATTCTGACTCCCAAGCTCCTCTTGAGAATCTCTCAGTTTCCTTCCATCCCAAAAGACACCTGAAATACGAATCAACGCCCTCCATCCCCAAAAAGGACACCTGAAAGAGGAAGAAGTTGCCCTGGGATTCCAATGTTGTTTTTAACATGCCACTCTTTTCAGAAGAAGGCAAAGCGGTGGGAGAAAAATTCTGTGTATTGCAAGATCCTTCCTTGCAAATTTCCGGTGCTTCCATGGCTAACATGCGGGGCACCCGCGATCCAGCCCTGCTGGACATTACTATCCGGAGTCCATCCGTCTATCCTGTCTCTATCAATGTTGTAACCCCAGAGGGTGAAAGAGCTAGCATTCACTTCCCGCTCTGAGCAAACACAACCCTCAACAAACATCTAAGATAAAAGGCACTGGACTTCACGTGCCCAGGAAACGCAATGGGACGAACCTTTTAAATTTATTTGGATTGGGTTTGATGGGTGTTGAGCTGAAAAGATGGAGAAGTCAAAATGCAGGTGGGAACTATGGGGTACAGACAAAGAGGGGGGAATCATGAAATACCCAGAGGAGAAGATTGGGTTGCAAAAGTGACAAGGTTCGTGGAAATAGCGATGATAACCAGTTGGGTCAGGAGGAAAATATGAAGACTTGTGTTGTGAAAAAGTAGAAACTTTATGTGGGTGTTTTGTGGAACGAGAACGAGTGAAGGGGTGATTTAGGGATTAGAAGGGGTGAAAGAGGAAGGAGAAAGCGTAAGATGGCAATTAATTGATGGAAAGAAGGGTGGAAGTTTATAAGTCTGATTTTTCTTCTTCCTTATTTTCCATATACTATTTTTTCTTAATCTTGAGTACTTTTACTGCACGGAGGGAGGGAGGGAGGGAGGAAGGAAGGAAGGAAGGAAAAAGATTGATGGGTGGATGGATGGATGGATGAAGAGAAGAAATAAAGGAAGGAAGGAAGGAAGGAAGGAAGGAAGGAAGGAAGGAAGGAAGGATGAGGAAGGGAGTGGGAAGGGATGCATGGATGGAAGGAGGGAGGGGAAAAGTTGAGAGGAAGAAAGGAGGAAAGGGATGGATGGATGGAAGGAGGGAAGGGAAAGTTGAAGGAAGGGTAAAGCGATGGATGGATGGATGGAAGGAAGGAGGGGAAAGATGAAGGGAAGGAGGAATAGAAGGCAAGGTTTCCTCAAAGTACTCTTGCCACACAGGGGAGCTAAAATGAGAATTTCCTGACTGACACACAGGAACTGAACCTCAGGAATAATACACAATCTGTGGAGCATCGCACTTTTGTGAAAGCACTTGCAACTCACAGCAGAAAAGACCTCACAGTTGTCCAGACTAAGAATCTGCACTTCTCAAAGAGAAATCAGCCGAGGAAAGATTACATCCTCACATACACGCCCTAACATTGAAAGCCAAGAAAGGGAAACCTTGGAATAAAACAATAAAATTTGATAACGTGACTGAGTCCAAGTACCTTTATTATGCAGCGTAGACTCAAATTCCTCCCACCTTCTCCTTGAACAAAGTGGCTCAGTGCTAAGCAATCTGGTTTTTTTGAAATTATTTCTACAGTCCTTCTGGATTACATCTACCCTTTCCGGTACCACAAAAGCTTTATGGGTCAGAGACTAAATTGTGGAGAGGATGGATAAAAAGAAAAGAAAAGAAGAGATAATCTATAATCTCGTAGAAATGTGTAGTACTAGTGAGAATATATAACTGTTATATGTAATAAATAAGAACATTAACATGTTATTGTAGGTAAAGAAATGACATATGGGATTTGACTGACAGAAAAATAATATTGTGAAACATAACATAATGAAAGGCTATTAATTTAATAAAAATAACTATTATTAGAACTGCATACTTTGCCAAACGTAAATATGGTGACTACTAGTGTACTTGTATCAAATGTAATTAGAAAGGGGATCTTTTAATATAACAGTGGTATATTTAGAAATTAAAAAGGGAATAAATAATGGAAAATTATAATTTAATATACATTTGTGAATTGTGATTTCAACTATAAATTCTGTAAACAGGGCGAACACGATTATTAATATATTAACTGGTAGTAAAAGGAATGAGGCTAAGAATATAGAGATTGACACAAAAATAATACCTTGTAATATTGAATAATGAAGGTGGATCAATTAACAAGTTATATGTGTTAATATCAAATGTTAAAAGATTATCAACTATATCACATAAGAGGAAGATTGTCATATTTGTGTCAAAATGTAAGGTACTCCAGGACCACACTGCTCACACAATGATAATTTTGTTGTAAAAAATGAAAATAAAAAATTATTTTTATAGGTATATGTGCCTGCCTGCCTGCCTGCCTGCCTGCCTATCTCTCTCTCTCTCTATCTATCTATCTATCTCTATATCTACCTACCTACCTACCTACCTATCTATCTTTGCACAAACCAACAAGGTGCAATTTTTCCCAGTAACACCGGATTCCTTTCTCCACCACAGAGGGAATGAAAAAATATTTTTAGGAACTTTGTTGGTACAAAGAACGTTTATGCTTGGAAGCAATCATAATCCAGAATCTAACAAAGGGCCAGGAAAATATTGACAAAAGTGTTGATAAAATTTGGCCGGTTTTTGAAAGCAGAGCTGGGTCACCTAAGGACACCCTATATCCCACGTCTGAAAACCTTCCAATGCCTCCATGCATAGTCTTTTGCACCCACCTGGGCACTGAACGTGCACAAACAGCTGGAAGAGATTGACGTGCGCACCACACATTGTGTACAAAATGTCCTTTCGAAAGCAACAAGCCGGGCCTGATTGGCACAACCGAGACTGAAAATCCAGATGGATTGGCTACCTACTTATTTTTTTCCCCCTCTGGAACCGGATCTGCCCGTTCAGACCCGTATCGAGAACTAATCTGAGTTCCCTTCGTGGTTTGCTTTTCAACGTCATTTTTTTTTTTTTTTTGCAAGCGCAGACAAGGATTCGTATTGGTTTTCAGCCGGGGTGCCGGGCTGAACCAGGAACGCAGGTGTTTGGGGAGTGGTTTGGGCTTTCAAAGATACTAGTCCTCAATTTGTGGACCCAATTCACCCTCAAATTTCTGCTGGCTTAAGCGAAAACATTGGCTGAGGGAATGTTGCCCCGTATTACGACCGTTCTTGCAACGGTTGTTATATGCATCATCTCAGGTATTAAGTTAGTAACACATTTCTATGCTTGTTTTAGACTTGCCGTGAACAGAAGGGGAGTGGGAGGAGAAATTTGAAAGTACAGCTCAGCAGTTGGGAACCGAAAGCGCATGCCACTCTTATCTTGCAAAGATTATAACTAAGCTACCAAAATCTGCCCTGCAAATCTCTAATTGGAGAACATGATTGATGACTCTTGGCTATTATTAAGTGAATGGCTCTGTCATGCCCCTGTCGGAGTCTGAATCCGAGGAGGAAGACGACCGTTGGCTGTGGAGGAAACTGAGGAAGGGCAAAGTCTGGCTGGGCAGAGCAGGGGAGAGGTAGAACAAGGGAGAGGGAGTTCAGAGGAAGACCCAGGCCCACCCCCTCTTCATCCTAGGGCACGCAGGGAAGAAAGGAGAAAAGCATCTCAAAGTCACAACCACAGCCCTTCCGCAAACACACAGGAAGACAATAACCGAATCTCACTTCGACAAAATATTCTTTTTGCAAATGTTTTACGGCTGGCAGAACGCAAATGCAGACGAAAGAAAAAATAATAATCATTTACTACTCCAGCCAGATGGCCCTTGCAGACTTTGGGCAAACCAGAGACTTAAGCAGACAGGACTTGAGGGATGGGCTTGAGCTAAAAATAAGCCAGGGGCGTGAAGGAGCGTGCAACAGGACAATCCGTTTCTTAAAAAAAGGAGACGCTTCTATTTACAATGCACATGGGTTACTATACTGGTTTGGTTCTGCAACCCAACAAGACAGAAAACAGAGTCGAGTAATTAGGACTGCAGAAAAAACAATGGCTAGCAACCCTGCCTTCCATGGAGGACCTGTCTACTGCACGAGTCAAAAAGAGGGCTGTGAAAATATCTACAGGCCCCTCACATCCTGGACATAAACTGTTCCAACTCCTTTCCTCAAAATGATGCTAAAGAGCATTGCACACCAGAACAACTAGACACAAGGACAGTTTTTTCCCAAATGCCATCACTCTGCTAAACAAATAATTCCCTCAACACTGTCAACTTATTTACTAATTCTGCATTACTATTACTATTAATCTTCCCACCTTTCCTTTCACCCATCTCTTCTCACTTGTGACTGTGTGACTGTAACTTTGTCGCTTGTATCCTTACGATTTTTATTGACTGTTTCCTAGTATTTGATTGCTTATTGTACCCTGTGACTATCATTAAGTGTTGTATCTTATGATTCTTGACTCTTGACAGATGTATCTTTTCTTTTATGTACACTGGGAGCATTTGCACCAAGACAAATTCCTTGTGTGTCCAATCACACTTGGCCAACAAAGAATTCTATTCTATTCTAGAATTCTATTCTATTCTATTCTATTCCTATATTATCCTCTCTTCTCTTCCTATATTAAACTCTCTTCTCTTCTCTTCTCTTCTCTTCTCCTGTGTATTTTGGGAGCAAAGTTGTAGTGAGGCTGTATTCTGCAGTGCTGCATCCATGCAGATATTTCCCAGTTCTTTCCTGCTAAATATTAATATTTAATTTTAACATTTTGGACCCAGGGTTGCACAATTGCTTCTCAGTGAGTCCCTCACTTAAAAACCCCAAACATCCAAGACAACCATGGATTGTAAACGATACACATCCTTTATTCCACATGCCTCCCCAAACTACAAAGCCGAGGAAGAGACTGGAAGTATGCAAACTTTAGGAAAAAGGAAGGAAAAAATGCCTTTGGGTTTTCTTATTGCCTCTTGGGGGGAAAAAAACCCAACCAAATATTTTATGCAATGCGGACTTTGACAACTGAGGAAAGTTCAAAAACCGACTGAATTCTCCTGCAGGGGAGAAAGCCGTTCACAAATTTGCCAAACTCACTCGGACGTAAATAACAGAATGCATCTCACCTCCATTTTGCCGCTTGTCTACTAAATTTTTTTAAAAAATAACCACCGGGAGCCCCGAAGGGGAAGGATTCTTTGCAAAGAAAAAAAAAAAAAGCCTTCAGAAACCAGCCCGCTCTCTTGCACACATGTAGAAGTGTACACGAGGGAGGTCGCACATTTTTCACATGGGATTGGGTCCGATTTCCTGGAAAAGCAGCTTACTAGGTTGGACAGGCGGAGGCGGGAGAAGGATTGAACTTT